GGGTTAAATGCCAAAATGCGCTGATGTAGCTGCTGCAACTTTATGGAATAGTTTGTGTTCCATAGGCGTCTAATCCAATGACCGGGGGTAGTAATGTGAAGCGCTTAGAGGCCTTGTTGGCATTAAGCGCTATATAAATATAACATATTATTATATAAATATAAATATATATAAATTATATCAACCACAAGGTATCTATAAAGTTTAATGCTGTAATGTTCTGATATTATATGTTTTACAAAGTCATGGGCTAGGAAAGCTTAGGCCTGTGGCAGGATTTGAACAGTCGTTTTGTTGGGTTTTAGTTTACCATAGTTAAATTTACTGTACCAATTTCAGTTGAAATTGAAATTATGATGCTACAATATGTGGCTTTTTGTGTTCTGTTATGTTCATTTGAAATTCTGTTAGGTCTTCAATAAACAAAAACATCCAGTTATATAACATCCTCTTATTGGTTGTGCTGAAGCGTACTATAGCAATGGTATACACCGAGGGTATGTTCACACGCACAGCGTAAGACTGGCATAGCTTATGTCAGCGTAAGCTAATCCACGGATTAAAATTCCGAAAGTGTTCACACAAACGGCGTTTGCTATATTAACGCTGGCGTTAAACTAGTAGTAATATAGGCCTATGGGGGGAATAGTTTTCAGTTTTAAATAATGTAAGGTCAAACCATTCAAGCATCACTGGCGCTAGCCAGGGAAGTGGCGTTGTGAGTGGCGTAAGCAACGCCACTGCCTAAGTACACACACAAAAGTGTATGCTACGCCGTGTGTGTGAACATACCCTGAATGTCTTGACCTCAAAATGTTGCAATTCCTACTGTATTAATACATAGTAGTTGAGTTGATGTATACATTAGCACAGTCTTCTATATTTCTACTATTTATCTTGTTCTTTGGCCGTGTCTACTTAAAGCTGTTCAAAGGTTGTAGATAATTGGTTTGTGAAATGGATATGATGATTATATATGTTACATTATGATCTAGTTATCTATGACGAGTTCACTCTGGCTTTAAAAATCGATCTGTGTTTATTAGAACATGTTCATTTTTTAGGCACATGGGCCGAGAATGATTGTCAATAGCAAAATCAATCTCTTTCTAAAAGTAGCAATTCTTTTCACAAGGCAGACATTTAACAGAAGATGCTCTACGATAAGCAAGTCTCATTACGTGGGCTCAGGGAGTGGGGTTGTTTCAGTTGTGAGAAAAATTCTTGACAGGAATTGATCCCGTAACCCTAGGGTTGGAAAGCAAACCTTATGGTGGTGTCATGACCTGCCGGACAAGGAGAGCTAAGCTGTCAAAAAGCAGGGTCTGAAAACGTCTGATGGCAATCTAGGGGAAAATCTCTGGTAGAACGCCTAGAAGTACTTCAACACTTCAGCATGCAATATGCCCACTTTTGTGTTTTTTTATTTTTAATTGTGGTTCCCCCTCCCCTTTTTATTTAAATAATTTCTGAAGGGGGATTGGCTTGTCTAATAAAGGCTTAAGCCTGCCACCGCGCTGATGCAAGCATATAATCTCGAAGCTACAGTCCCACTTACAGTACATGTTCTATCTACAAAAATATCTGCAGTTTTATTTGCATAATGTAATCTGTAATATTGATTGATAGGTTTATTGATTGGTTGATAGGTTGATTGATTGTTTAATTGTTGTCTATTTGATTGATTGATTAATACAATTGATGTCTGATTGATTGGTTTGATAAGTTGATTGATTTATGACCCAAATGAGTTTCAGGGTCCTTGTTTTTTTAAGGTTCATAAACAATCATCAAGGGTAGTCTATGACCTATTTCTTTATTACACTGATAATACCCATGACATAGGACAAGACAAATACAAATCTTCATACACCATAAAGATTATCAATATACAGATATTACGTACTAAATTCTAAAGTCAATAGATTTAAAGGCTTTACTAAACTTTAGCACTTTTAAGAAACATTTAATTAGCATATTATATATCAACACCAAGAAGCTTAAATTTATACAACCATTGTGCACTTTTTCCATTGCTCTTGGATTACAGTATATGAGAGACAGTAATCTTTAAATGGGCATTTGGGATGAACCTTGGCTTGTAGGTTGTTCCAGAGTTTTTTAACTGTTTGTTTTTCCTAAATTGAATGAATAAATGTTGAATTGATTTGGTTGCTTGACTTTTTGATTTAATGATTGATTGATTGAATGATTATTTGATTTGTTTGGTTGTTTTTTTAATTGATTGATGTGTTGATTTCATTGGTTGATTTGTTGTAATTGGTGTTATTAGTTGATTTTTTTTATTTGATTAGTTGATTTACTGACTGATTAATTATTGATTGGTTGATTGATTAGTTTGGCTGATTTGATTGGTAGATTTTGGTTGATGGATTGATTGATTAATTGGTTGACTAAATCTGAAGTATGCCTAAGTACATATACTGTAGGCAAATAGTTCAAACACTCAGCTGCTGCTTCTATCCATAATGGATCAACATTTAAAATAACCTAATTCAGAAACTTCATACATAAACATGAACTACTGTACCTAAAATATCTCCCAAAACATGCAAGCAATGAAATATGTTGGTGTTGTGTAACTTTAATTTGAAAGTCGAGGTAGAGAGAGGAGCTATCGGGGAGTTTACAAATGTTAAATTTGAAGAACATCAGAATATTACTGCTGAGTTTATTTGCCTTTCCTCACACTTTTAATTTTCGTAAGCTGAAAAATTACATAAAACCCTACTAAAGATATATCACATGGTTTTAGTGTATGCAGGGGCGGATTTTTGGGAGGTAAAAAAAGAAAAAAGAAAGAAAAAGAAAAAAATGATAGCCCAGAACGCCTCAAATGTTATTTTCGGGCGTCTAGAACACAAAACCTGGGACGTTGTTGTCTCAATCGGCCCTAATTTCGGCCCCTCCCCCCCTTTTGGACATCTCTGGATCCGCCCCTGGTATGTGATGTGTAGTTGTATTTGTCTTCATAATATTTAATATACTGTATAATGATTAAAATTACTACAATTATACTCTCATGTTGCCACTCTATGCAGCATACTTTATTTTTTTAAATACATTATGGTTATTTTTTCAGAATTCCAATGTGCTGCAGGCGGTACTGGCGTTAATCAAGGAGCTCGATCAAGATAGTCTGGAGGTTGTCGCGAATGCTTGCAGGGATAAGCTAGATTCTTTGTAGAAATATTACAATTTTCTGGAATGTGGAACACTTTAAACGAGGACTGTGGTATGGTTGTAATAACGGGTCACAGGATTATGTATCTTTGCTTAAGATGTCGGAATAAATAAATGGGGTAATAAATAAAACTGAAAAACTATGTTCGAAAGCACTGGTTTCGGTACCGTTTGTAAATTTAAATTGTTACTTTTATAAATACTATACAGTATTAAGATTCAAGATTTTCTTATCAGTCAATATCATAACATGATGAATGAAAATTGTTTCCTTGGTGAAAATAAATGAAGTTATTTTAGTTATTATGGATAATATTTTTAATTTAACTGACATTTTTAAATTTATTATGTTGTTATATTATTTTATTTATTTTTTTAATAATCATAATTTATATAAAGATTTTCATAATTTCTATTATTCAAAGTAGTAAGGTTCATTGATAGCAGGACAAAATTTATTTGATACCTAAGAAAATTGCTGTTTTAATAAGAAAATACTACAAAGTGAGATGCTGCTTGGTAGTTTAATGTTCAAATAAGAGATAGTAAATAAGAGAGGACCATTATTTATTCAAATTTTGTGGCAATTGGTTTGAAAAAAGCAAGGGGAATTCCCCTTCCCCATGGAAATTTGCTGAGCTAAAAGATTACAAAAACTAGTTAAACATCACCTCATATCTTCTTATTTTGCACTCCACCCCCAAAATAATTCCCCTAAATCAAGCTCCCACTTGAAAATTTCCCCCTCCCAATACTCCTTGATACGCCCCTGCCTTTCANNNCCCCCCCCCCCCACCTACTTCCAAGTCAATACTCCTTGATACGCCCCTGCCCTGGTGGTGCCCCTCAGCCAATTTTCTCAATTACTCCTCCCTTTCGGTTACTTTAATTCATTTACATGCCTTTCCATTCACTGGAATTTTTGATAAGATTTATTTGACAAGATATTTCTTGTAGCAATCAATACCTTTAGGTGTGAACGAAGTGTAGAGTTTAAAATCAATGAGGAGATTTAACAATGAATTCATATAATTTTCAACTCTAGGTTTTTACAATGTATGCTCAGTTTTGATCTGTGTGTAGTGAAGGATCTCTAACATTCAACGATGCAGTGTTTTTTATAACCTTTTCATAATATGGTTTATAGAATTTCTTCTTCTTTTCTTTTTTTCAAACTAAAAAAAGAATGGTTTGTAAAAAGCCAAAGAAAAGCTGACGACGTTTTTACAGTATTCCTTGATTTGTTTATAACTAATTAGATAAATTGATAGATATTTATCAAATGCTTGAATTTATTTGTATGTAATTATTGCTCAATATTTATAATAAATGAAGTGATTATATAATATATTATATTATATAGTGGCTCTGTTAAGACTATGTTTAAATCACGTCTGAAAAAAGTTGTAAAATATTAAAATTGTAGAAACTGGTATGCTAGTGCCAGATTGAGATTCTAAGCCACTTGGCCGAAGCCTTCGAGTATGAAGTGAGCTCATGATAGTGAAGAATTATCCTCATTTACAATCAATCGCTTGTGTAAAGCTCTGTCAAGACTACCAAATTTTAATTTCCAAAAAAAAACTCTTGTGTGCCCATATATAGTCATTATGTGCCTATATATGGTCATGATGTGATGTCATCATGACCATATTTAGGCATGATGTGCCTATATATGGTCATGATGTGATGTCATCGCGACCATATTTAGGCATTTCACATGTTTATGTCAAATAAAATGAATAGTCTGGAGAAGGCTTAGAAGGAATGATTGAATATTTTGACCAGAGTTGAAGGTAATTTAAAGATAGCAGTGGCAGATCTACTGTAAAGGGGGGTGAATATGGTGGCTAGCTACCCCCCTTCGGTTACTGTGAAAAAAAAAATGGTCACTCTTCTTGAGTGTGCTTCTTGTGTATACATGTTACGTGTAGTACTCTGTTGAAAAATGCACTTTCTATTTTAAGCTTAACTTCTTTTCAGATGCCATCTAAGAGCGTCTAGCCATCTACTAATTCCAAACAAAATCTCAAATGAGAGGGGACCCCCCTCCCAAAATTGCTCTTCCTGCTCGCATTATCCACCCCCATTGCTAAATCCTAGATCCGCCACTAAATAGCACCTTGGTTATTAATGCATAAAGTCTAGAAGTGAGAGATTAGATAGAAACTTAACAGATATAAATATTATAGATAAATTATATTAGATGATATATGTTTGCTAAAGGCAAAAAAAATTATTATTAAGATTAAATTACGCTTTGTTGATTATAGATGTATTTGGGATTAATTGTTTGTGACATGAGGAACTTACTACGAAATTCCTCCACATTGATTTAAGCATAGAACTAAGAAACAGAGACAGCTAGTTGATTGTAATTTATAGCAAAATTATTGGTATAAATCATTACTATACATTGGTATATTGATGCTAATTGAACACTTGACTTTGTTACTCATTAGATTGTTGACCTTTGAACTGGTACCTTGTAAATATATGTTATTACAAATGATACCTACATAATATACATAGTATACTGTACATTACATTTTTTCTTGACATTGCCCGTTAAATGCTTCCGTCATATCAAATATACTGGTTAACCAATTGGTTTTTAAATGCCAACTTTAAATGATTGTATTGAACAGAAAAATAGTTATCAATTGGTCTGTGGATGATCTGTACAACATACTCTAATTTTTCTTATGAAAAGTGATTCCTTCATCTGAAGATGAATCACTCTGTTATGAAAAGCAAACTTCTTGCATATTTCACACATTCATATTATGTACTGTTGCTACATGATGTAGTGGAACAAGTCATCTCCTGTTGCTACATTGGCTACATAATATAATGGGACAAATCGTTTCCTCTTAATTGGACAATTTGTTTACCTTGTATGTTGTTCAACAGGCAATCATTATTTTTTTTTAAATAGAAATTAGAAATAATACTGTACATTCAAATTTAATTCTGAGCCATTTCCAGTCATCTACCATAGGTGTGCTGTAGCCATACAATCTTGTACCTTAGCTTCAATGATGGTGAGGCTGAGCAGGTTTAGATCCTCGCTCTGTAAAAGTTCTTTCCTTCTGGGCCCCTTTATTTTGAATTCCTAGATCTGCCCCTGGGACAAGTAACCTCCTTTATGACGCAATTCTATGGAGAATGCAACGCCCCAACACGTGCGCAACAGATCGTTTTTAATGACAACCCGTCCAGACTGCCCCCAATAATCAGCAGACAGCTTCGCATCGTCCAACGGTCATAGAGAGTGGAATTGGATTCATCGTACGACTGTTGTACAATGCAGTGAGTTTCTGGCTTAAGTTTTGACTTGGCCCTTTGAGCGAAAAAAGTATGCCTATTGTATCGGGAGGAACAACTCACATCCAGAGCGATTGCCGCTAGTTTGATTGCCACACCGTACATTATTCTGTTTCCTTCCCTTGAATTCATATGCATGATATTGAGTGTTTTTATGTATAAAAATAATTATTCTCCATTGTTTAAAAGTTTAAATTAACACTTATTTTCACCGATTAGTGACCGATACTGTATTTCTTAAAGTGTACATAGTAGTAATGTTCCCATTCAAAGATTGCTGATACCATGCCAGCTAGAGAAACCATAGAAATTGCTAAATTTTTGCATGTTTAAAAATGAAATTTGTATTAACAATTGTTTACCAAGAGTTGTTTACTGTAAATTAATATTAGTACATATGTATAAGGCATTATAAAGGAACTTAAAAATATTGTATAAAAATACTTTTTACTTTGGTGAACTGAGAAAATTCTATTCTGTAAAATTATTATTATGCTTGTCACCTTATTACCTTATTTGTGTCAGATCTGTTTCAATATTTTTAATAAATATTTAGCTATGAAATCTAAGCAATTTAAAAAATAAAACCAATTGCTGTTGCGGTTTTCTTATGCTTGCTTTTGGATGAGGTGGAGTTTTTTTTTACACTTTGAGACTTGTCCCCAGTCACATACAGATAAATAAGGTGTACATGGGTTTGTTGCATTGGTACCGTACCTGTCATAGATACCCTGTAAAACCTTGAATTGAAGCCCTGAGCTTCTTTTCATTGCGAACTTTGGATGGGCTTCTTTTCGAGGCTACATTTGCAAAGTAAAGAGGGGGCTTCTTTTCAAACTGAATGCTGTGAATGCTGTGAATTTATCCTATAACATAATAAATAAAGCCACTGTAAGTGTAACATCAATCAGTATCATGGATTGGATTTAACTGGCATTAAATCACCTAAACTACTGTATAAACCAAGCTTGTTTTTAATTTATTTTGTTTTTTGAAATTCATGTACAGTGTATGTACTAAACTATCTCGAAAAGAAGCCTATGTTATCTTGAAAAGATGCCCATGGTCTTCATTTCGAGATGGGCTTCTTTTTCGAGGCTAATTTTGCAAACTAAATAGGGGGCTTCAATTTGAGATGGGCTTCATCTCGAGATAGTCCATTGGGCATCAATTCGAGGTTTCACGGTATTGGTTAAGAATGTATATAATTCTGTAGGAACAACAATTATCGTGAGTGGAAATAATGTTCTCGCATAACTCTTTTGTGAGTGTTTTAGGATTCTATTCCCTCATACTGTATAATGTAAATTGAAAAGATGTTGAAGTTCATTTTTGTGGTTATTTTAAAATATTAAAGAAGAATAAACTAGAGGAATACTATTTCATCATAAAAGTTTTCATTATAGTTCTAAAATGTATTGTTTAGTTTTATATTATGTAATTTCTATTTTTGTAAGTTTTTGTTTTCTGCAAATTGTAGGCCTATTCTTGATAGTTATTAATTTGATGGAGGTTTGAGGTGTGTGCAATTACTATTTATCTGTAAATTACTTATGTTAATTCAAATCTTTACACTTCTTTGTACCTCAATTGTGCAGAAATATTTTTATTCTAAAAAAATTGTTTAATTTTCTGAGGTTACCATAAATGATCAAATAAGTACCTTTCTATTGGTTGGGACTACCCTCAATGGTGTTTTGTTACGCCCAGGTTTCCCCGGGGCCAATGGTGAGTTTGTGTTCGATTTTCATTATGTGGCCATTGTGCTTGTATATTTTTTATCATGTGGTACCCAAATGAATAATTAAAATTGAAATTTCTCAAATTTGCGTTGCTCGCCAAGAATGCTTTTAACGATACATTCTGTTTTGAATAAATGCTAATGTTATTAAGAATCTATTAAACCACAGATCTCTCACGAAATATTACTAAAATGAAATTGTTTCTTAAAGAATGTCATATATTCAGTATATCTATTATAATCAGCGGTAAACAAGAACATATTGGGGATTAAACGAACAAATTTGGAATAAAGGGTGGGACTATTTTAAGCACTGGATATCCTTTCGAGATACCGTAGTGCATTAAGATAGCAAGATTGAAGTTTAAGATTAGGTTCAAGCCAACACTTTCGGATTTACTTAATGTTGTTGCAACAACCGCCTATTTTGAATCTGCTTTAGTGGTGGCATTGCACTGCCCGTTCAACACTGGTTTATACCCTTAATCCATCATTGACCATGTATATTTTTGTATTGTAAACTTGTTTAAAAGGAGACATGGTACTGTTTTACGAGATACATTATTAATCGTATGATACTTAGCATGCAATTCAGTTCAAAGTCTTGTGTTGGCGGTGTGCTGTGTTTATGCTTGTAAATAAATTTTCTGTTACAACTTGAGTTCATTCAATTGCCTGATTTTTTGTGTTGTACAGTACTGTATAATATACTAGCACATTTCATTCCAGATAAAAATGTATTGTCCCATGAAAACGTATGGAATGCCTCCTCTGCCTTCAGTTCACAATCATCATGCAGTGCATACCAATCGTTATGCAGTTCACACCAATCAATATGCAGTACTTACCAATCACAATGTAGTACATGTATTTACCAATCACTATGCAATACTTTCTTCACTGTGGCTGACACCTTGGTGTGGTAGTAAGGCTTGTGTACTTTTGTGCGCCGAGGAGCTATGCCTCAGGGGATTGAAATAGCCATTTCAATCCCCTGAGTGACCCTTATTTAATTAAAAGTACAGTAAATATATATAATATGAAGTAAACAAAACTTAGAACTAAAAATTCTAAATGCAGATTAAAATGACAAAGTAAAATGAACTAAACTTGAAAACAAATAAATAAAAATTAAAAAACAACAAAGATGTTCAAAATACCTAACATCCGCCCCTGAAAGCATATTTCCCTCATCTATTACAAGTTCATCTTCCTCACAAGAGCACAAAATCTACTCTCACCCCGATGACCCCCCTCCCAACCCATAGAGTTAAATGTGAAAATACTTCAAATGTCTCCTTCCCAATGAGTATTTAAATATTTCTTTATACCCTCAGATCATATAACAATGTAGTACAATCAATTAAAAAAAAAAAAAATTAAGATAAGCATAGTTGCAGTTAGGACATTGAATTTATAATTTCACTTCGCAGTTTCCATGTCCTTTTAATGTTCCTTTTGTAGAATCTATCAAAATATCATTCACTGTTGATAGAAAGAGTCGAACATCCCAAAATATATTTAAATTTTGTATTTTCATTTGCCTTACATTAGATCGCATAATTTTCATTTCTAGTTATTATCCGGATTCCATTTTGAAGTTCTATTGTTTAACGATAATGTATTAGTTCTGAGTTTGAATTTTAATGCAATTCCTTCAAAATCAGTTTTGTCAATGAGGTAATTTTCGAGTTCAGGTTTTAATTTCAATGTGGCATACTCTTGGAGAGATGCTGTATATTTGTTAAAAAAACACAAAATGAGTTTAAAAAGAAAACAACTGGGTTGAAGTTTAAGGCCAAGTTGCTGACGTTGGCGGTGGTATTTTCATACTCCTTGTTTTAACTTGTCCCAGACTTTCAGAGCCGTAGATAGACAGAGTTGCGACATTGAGAATTTAGAAGCCATTATGTGTCCAACGCGATCCACGTTCTCTGTCCAACGCGATCCGTGTTCTAATTATAATTTCTATGTAATTACATGTAATTTGCATTTAATTATCAATCAAATTTTTAATGGGACTTCTAGATGGCCGGAAATGGCTGGGATTGGAAAACTAGGCCTATTTTTTTTTTTTTTTGGTCCGACTGCCTGACAAGCTTTGACCGATTGGGGGGGGGCCTTAAGCCCCTACCCCCCGCTGGCACCACCACTGTTCTTCGGATTTTAATGTATCCTATCGCGTTAGTTTGTGGTTCGCCAATGTTTTGGTGACAACATGGCTGGTGTAAGTCATGTGGTTGCAATCCACCCAATCACACGCGCGTATAGCAGAACTGTGAAACCGAGTTGGCCAAACTTTGCCTCTACGGTTCTGCAACAAGTCAGAGCCATATATATATATATATATA